CGTTAGTCACATTTAGTCCATATTTAATAAAATAGATCTAAAAGAATAAATTGACAGATTTGATTATGTAGAAGAAATTACATGCTAATAAGCAGTATGAAAATTAAGAAAATTCCTGGTAATGATTATGACAAATATCTCTAAAATATAAAAAATGCTTATGAATAATGACTACTAAAAATAGATACTCCTATTAAAATAACAAAAATATTAAATAAGTCATAAAATATAGAGTTAGTAAAATAAGAGTTTGACTCAATAATAATCCAAGCAAAAAAGTGGGGGGAGGGACACTGTTCGACTCATCAGTGTCCTTGGGACACACCCACATCCCATAGTGGAAAGCCAAGATTGAAATCTCAGCTGTCCCAATTCCAATTTCCGGATATTGCATCTCCTGGCAGTGGGTGATGTCTCTCCCATGGGTGACCTGGGTGGAGTTCTTGGCTCTGACTTGGACCTGCCCTAACCCTAGGTGACGTGGACATTCAGGGAATGAGTCAGCAGTTGGGAGATCTCTCTCTGTCTCTCCCCTTTTTCCCTCCCTCTCTTCTTCCCTCTCTCTTCCCACGCCACTTCATCCTTCTCTCCTGTAATTTTCTATCTAATGTTTTCAGATTGTAGTGGGTGCCTTGTAACTGAAATCACAGAGAATGAAACTAAGGAAGCTTACCGCTGCGTATTTGATTTTACAGTCTATGAGTGGTATAACTTACCTGTGATAAAAAGGCATTGGAATGCTTGAAAAGAGAAAGAACTGGTACTTTCAAAACAAGCTGCTGAAAATCATGAACAAAGAAAATTCTTATTTCCACTTCTCAGATGTCAGTGTTAACATAGTGTTTGCAATGACCTTAATATCTTAAAATGTCAGGAACTGATCCATGAGCAGGATTATAAACCACAACAGAAGCCACTAAGGAAGTGTGCTGCACCCCTATTACTTCAAAGGAGGAGGGTGGCAGGAGCAAAGAGAATCAAAGGATTCCAACTCACCTGTAAAATCCCAGGACTTTAATGTAAAAACAATGGGACTCCAAGATTGCTCCCTTTTGATGAGGATGTCTTCCTTCCTGGGCACCCCTTGTCTGCATGGGACAAAAGTCCTATGTGCCCCATCCCACCTTTTGAAAAGAAGGGAGTAGAAATTTGGATTTGCTATTCAAAGTGCCCCATTCTCTCTCCCTGTGGATACCCTACTGTGGTGCTGCAAGTGAGTGCCAGGGCTGTCTGGGCCCACAACCAGAGAGCTTCGGGTCTCATCAACAGCAACAGTGCTCACGGGAATTCAGGTGTCATCCCACCACCAGGAAGGCAGCTGGCCTGAGAAGCCTCCTCTCCCAGCCTTGTTCTCTAGGCTCTCCATGCCAAAGCAAGCCTGTGCTTCCAGCAGTACAGCTGTGCATGCGTGCACACACACACAAACACATACACACACAGACACACACACACACACACACACACACACACACACACACACACACACACACACTCCAACAGAGGAGTCAGGCTGCATTCTTCTTTCAAGCAAGGTTAGCCTGAAGTTTTAGGGTGTTCCACTGACAACGATGGGGTAACATGCAATCCAGATCAGTCATCAGGAGAGCAAGTTAAACCTTCAAAGGGAAAGAGAGCATAGAGAATTGGACCCTAATGCAAATTTACTCATTCCTGTACCCAGCAACATTAAAACTGAGGAAATAAAAAAATCGGAGAACACATGAAAACCATGGTTATCCACCTATGGACCCACAGGTTTCACCAACCTCTTCCTCCCCTCTCCCCTGCCCAACTCTCCTGGGACACCTGCAGATAGCCAGGGGGTATTCACATTCTATCCATGTAACAAAAACGCTGTGCCCAGAATTTCCCAAAATCGAGCAGGTTCTTTCCAGGGAAATCAGGAGCTGCAAGCAAGTGGCCAACAACTGTAAAAGATGGTTCATCTTGCTTAAAACCCCAGGAATAATAGCTTAGAGCACATTTGCTGGATCAAATAAAATCAATAATAATTTTTATGACAAACAGGATTTTTTTTTTTTTGCTCCAGGCTCTAGCTTAACCATTCAGATCCTGGTCAGCAGTCAGCTCTTTAAAATCAGCAGCGAGACCAAGGTGCTGACTAGAGTCCTTGACTGTTGAGGCTCAGTTGTTTCATCTGTAGAATGGGACACAAGGCTGTTTGCCTCACAGGATATTACGAAGCATGCTTGATATCATGTGCACACTGTTGGTCCTGCCACAAGGATAATGCTAGAAGTTTCTTTCCCCATTCCCTGTGCTTGCCATCCATACATGCTCTCCCTCCCAACTCTCTCTGTCTTATTTTAATAGAAGAATAAAAACATCATGTCAATGGCATGTGCCTTCTCAACTTGTGCATGAAATCCCTCCAAGGACATTTTCAGCAAAACTCCAAAATGTCAACTGGGCAAACCAATAAGCATGTGCAGGAAGCGCCTCTGCCTGACAACAAACACCTGTTAGCACAACGCAATCTTCCACCTCTCGGCAGAGCAAGGACTTCAGAATGCAGCCCTTGGCAGCCTGGGATTGGAGCCTAACACAGTCCCGGGAGGAAGAGCAGGTGAGGGCTGTCATCAGCTCAACCATGGCAAGCTCCTCTCCGGCTCTCAGGGTGCTTGCAGCTTTAGAGGAACCTCCCACCCCCTCCACCCCCCCACCCCCGCCCTTGCAAGGTCAAGTACCACCTGTCTCCACTGGATTTGGTGACACATAAGAACCATTTGTTCCTGTTGTTTCCAGCACAAAGCTAAAGATATTTTTAATCTTACAAAACACAGATCTAGTGCCATTCATGTGGTAAATCCGCTTTCATCAGAGGCGAGCTCAGTGGAATTCACTGGGCCATTCTGCCTGCCTTAGCTGGCAGCTGGACCACCCGGATCAGCTGAAAGTCTTGGTGGCTCTTTGTTGCTCAAGACCACATCCTCTGCCTTCACACTGTCTCAAGCTAATGCCCCCACACGTTGTGCTGATGACGCTGGTGCCCAACATCACAGTTAACGGGCAAACACTTATTTCAACACTTATTTCTTAAAATGACAGAGGTTGGAGGTCATTAGTAACAATCTTAATTATCATTTCTTTCAATGAAGCTGGCAGTAAAAGCCAAGTAGGCCTGCGGGCAACAAGAATAGGATGGACTCTGCCTAACCAAAAAAGCTTGATGTTTGCAAACAAAAGTCAGAACAATTTTTCAATTTCTTCAGTATGAAGCTTCATCCTGGAGAACACCCACCAGATAACAGCTGATATATTTCATCACGTCCTGTGGGACATCTAGAATTAACCAAATCTTTTCACAGATTGAACTGCGTGATGTGGCTGACACTTACTTGGCTTGTTTAGAACTTAGAAAAATGACAGCTTCATATGATTTGATCTAATATGCTACCACCTTCACATTGCTCAACCTTATATAAAATAAATACTTGAAGGTCTGAGGATTCATTTTAGGTCTGAGGAATGTAGCATGCAGAAATAAATCTAATTACATGATAGTGTGTTTACAGATAATAATGCATAAATCATTTGGCTTGGGGTCCTTAGCTATTCTGAAGCGTTCTCAGAGTAATGCTACAAAATAACACGAGGAAGAGGTGGAGAAGGAGCTCAACAAGCATTAGATACCTTTCTTCTAAGTTGCGTGCATTCTGAAACTTTATTTTTTGCAGCCATTTGCAGCCCAAGTTCTTAGCTACTTCAACATGTTGTAGTTACTTCATCCCTAACAAAGAAATCATGAAGCTTTATTCATTTATTTAAACTACTTAAGTTGACGCCTGCTTCTCCTTCCAACATTCGCTCAGCCACACCGATGGGGAATTGTGTTGTGTACCACTCCATCATGATTCTGTTTTAATAACAACAATCCTCCCTCACACACCGGCAAGCCACTGGCTGCCCCCTTCTGGAGGTCAGATTCTTACAATGAATCTGAACTCCGTAGAACTTCTGCAGCTCCAATGAGAAAAGCACTATCTACCCTCTCTATTTACAGCCATGGAGGACAATTAGCCTTAAAATGTATTATTCTATACAGCTACTCAGTTTCAGGGTCCAAAACGTACATGTGGTTTAATAAAAATTAAGCTATACTTGGGCCCAGCAGCATGGCCTAGCAGCTAAAGTCCTCACCTTGAACGCGCCAGGATCCCATATGGGTGCCGGTTCTAATCCCAGCAGCTCCGCTTCCCATCCAGCTCTCTGCTTGTGGCCTGGGAAGGCAGTCGAGGACAGCCCAAAGCTTTGGGACCATGTACCTGTGTGGGAGACCTGGAGGAGGTTCCTGGCTCCTGGCTTTGGATCGGCATAGCACTGGCCGTTGTGGTCACGTGGGGAGTGAATCATCGGATGGAAGACCTTCCACTCTATTTCTCCTCCTCTCTATATATCTGACTTTGTAATAAAAATAAGTAAATCTTTTTTAAAAAGAAATTAAGCTGTACTTAACAAAGGAGTATTAAGAGCTGGCATTATGGCACAGTGGATAAAATTACTACCTGTGATGTAGGCATTCCATATGGGTGCCAGTTCATGTTCTGGTTGTACCACCTCCCATCCAGCTCCCTGCTGATGTGTTAGGATTAAGCAGTAGAAGATAGCCCAAGTGCCTGGGCCTCTACCATGCATGTGGGAAATCTGGATGAAGCTCCTTACTTCAAGCTTCTGCCAAGCTCTGCCCATCTAGGGAGTAAACCAGCAGATAGAAGATCTTTCTCCCTCTCTCTCCATCTCTTCATTTCTCTCTTTCCCTCCCTTCCTTCCTCCCTCCTTCCTTTCCTCATTCCTTCCTCCTTCCTTTCCTTCTTTTCTCTCTCACTCTACCTCTCTCTTTCTTTCAAATAAACAAATAAATTTTTTTAAAAAATTGTTATAAAAGTCTATATCTACCATTGTGTAACAGGGTTGATTTAATTTTTTAAAGACTCAAAAGAAAGCCATAAACTCAATAAATAAAAATTTGCAATACTTGCAGTATTTGTTACAATACTACTTCAATTCCTCTGTATGTGCCCAGTGGCAAAAATCATTTTCTTGAAAGGCTGTGAAGACAGAAACATACAGGGCTCCCATGTCTAACATGGTCTCCAATGTCTGTTCTCTTAGCACTACCACATCATACAACGCCTCTCTCTTTGGAGTGTAAAGATTCAGTGATGGTGCAGAGTGGTACTGGACATAGACACACAGCAGGCATCCACAGCAAGTCAGCCTACGTCATTCATGGACATGATGCATCAGAAGACACATGGAGACCCTATAAAGACTGACCTGGCCTCCCAATTCTATTTTTCTTGAACTGGTTGGTTGCCTGACTCCCAGTGTGCTTTCCCTGCCCTTCATTTAACAACTGCCATGTGCAAGAATGTCTAGAAAGGAATGAAAATATGACCCATGAATCTCAAGAAAGCCATGGCATCTTCCTCATGGGGAAAAGGGAGATCTTAGACTCATCTTGAGTGGGAAGAGAACTGGAACTGAACGGGCATTCCATGTACTCTCACAAGCTTCCTGGCAGAAATCAACAAATTCCCTAGAGGAATAGGAGCCTGGAGAGAAAGCAGGGGGGAGGAGCAAGTGCTGAGTGAGAAAGAGGAAGAGAAAGGGCTGGGAGAGGAGAGGAACTAATAATTAAAACTACAGCTATGGAAATCACTGGCAACAAATAAAAACACCCGTCAGGACTTGTGTTTGGGGGGAAAAATTCCATGTGCTGAAATGCTACTCTGATATACCCTGGACTTGGCATTAGGCGCTACAGCCTCCAGGCTACGGTTGGGCCATTTACACCTCTCGGTGCAGGTCCACCCACCTCAGCTTCCTTTTCTAAAATGGGGACAGAAACACCTACTGTAAAAAATGTTATGGCAAAGATTGAATGAGATAACCCACATACTACTGCAGCCATGTTTCAATAAACAAATGCCTTCTTCCTTCTGTTTCTCCCCTTCTTTGTCTTAGGATGAGCTTGATGAGATAACAGACTAAAACCTACTTTGTAGCCAGATGGGAGTTTAGGGGTAAGAACACGGACATCTGAACGTTAATGTGAAACTTGCCTCTCAGCGAATTCAATCTATTTCCAAAGGGCTCCTCACAAAGGATTTTTAAATGTCTTCGATTATACGGGTGGGAAAACTACATGTAATAGTGAGATAAAGGTTTGGAAAACAAAACAAAAAAACCCTCTGTTTGCACTGAACAATGCAGCCTGGTGAAATTCAGCTAAACTAACCCAATACAAGGACCCAAGAGCCCCCAGGGACTGCCCAGGGAGAGCCTACCCTGTGTAGAGGATCAGTTCTCAACAAACACAGCCAATCTGGTCCTTTGCAGTGGGAAGACAATAGCTCCAAGTCCAAGAACAGCTGGATGAGTGGGGCTGAGCCAAGAATCCCAACACTGCTCCTCGAAAACAATGAATGGGAGAGACAGAGGTATTTAGAGGAAACCCAAACTAGAAAAGAAATTGGGAAGAGAGGGACAATGGTGTGGACAGAGCATTTAGTCATCGTGTCTCCATGGTCGTGACTGGTCATGTGTCTCCCTCCTGGCTGTAACAGCTCCCCACACTTGCCTTGTTTCTGAAACCATGAAGATACATTTTTGGGTGCCCCTCTATTTGAATCTTTTCTCACATTGGGTTCATGATTAGATGGATGTTCAGGATCCAGAGGAGTGGCCATAGGGACTCAATGCCAATTTCATCACAACAGTTCCAGCATGCATAGTCTCTGGGCATTGTCAGTATGGATTCTGATCACCCAGCCAGGGGAGTGCTTGTTGGGTTTTCTTGCTGTGAAGCGTCTCCCCCACCCTTTTGCTTGCCATAGTCTGCAAGAAAGCCACACGAGGAGTAGAGAGTTATACACCCCAGAACAATGTTTCAGGATAAAACTTACAGGAAGCCCAAATCCTCTGTGTACTATTAGTTTCCAGCAGGCGTCCCTGAAGAGTCAGCAGAGAACAGACACAGAGACTACATGTGAGAACTGTTTAAGGGGGAGCCAAGGAGAAGGGGCTGGCTGTGGGCCCATCTGGGGTGCAGAGGGGAAGCTGCAGAGCTAAGACACTCATGTGACTCATGCACTGAGTTGAGGATCCAGAGGCCACAAGTCTCCAGGAGAGTGGGGAAGCCAGGAAGTATGAGGTTATTCACTTTTTATTCATTTTTTAATCTGCACTTACAGAGCTATTTAACAGCTGCTATTAGACATGATACCAGGTGCTGAGGAGCTTGGAGAAGACACAAAGACAAATGGAGCATTCATCCTTCTCCAAAGTCCTTTAAGGAACTATGCAGGTCTCCAACTTGCTAGTCCAGTTGCATCTGTTCAGTTCTTTCATCAGCTGTTTATCCTCATAACATCCCAGGGTCACCAAAGTTCTAGATCAAGTAGTGGCTTAGAGCAAGAACTTCAGTCCTCCCTGCTCTTAACAATCTTTTCCCCAAAGCCAACCCAGATTTTTTAAGTATTCTGTGATTTAATTCATGTACATATTGTGGATATTCAGTGTACTATAAATAAAAGAATCTTTGAAAAATTTTCTGACTTGATAGTCTTTGACATAAAAATCCAAGAAAAACAGTGAGTGTCTGATTGCAAATTAACCTTCAAGTCTCTAAGTCACCCTTGCCCCAACAAAAAACTTGCTATATAGAAACTCTGGAGCACCTTCCCCTGGCATAGGGAGACATATGTTATTATGGCCCTTGGACAAATAAAAGAATGGAAGCACAGAAAATTTGTGGGTGCATGTCAGTGGAAGTCAGAATTCTAACTGGAGCACTTGACTTTGACTGCGGACCCAAAGCATTCTCCATTTTTCAATATTCAACATTTTTAACACTCACACAGACACTTCAGACACACGTTGATGCAAGTGGATGCAATGCCATGCACTATCACTTATGTGATATCACAAATGACAACAAGAGACATTCAATTAACTAGAACATGGTATCAAGGGGTAACTGCCATTCTAGAAATTATACCCACTTTCAGGGAAGGAAAAGCTATGAATAAACACCTTGAGCTACATCAAAAAGGTCAGGAAATGGAAAAGTAATACTTCAATTTATAAGCACTGCTATTATTTTAAAATAACACAAAATACACATATGGGTAAGTGCTAAATATAGATACACATGAACAATCCGACTGATAATATAGCCAGGGCCAGTGAACATTGGAACAAAAAGGAATCTTAGCTAATCTCAACCAGAGATTTTCAAATGTTTCTTAAGTCTTAGATAAAATATTATTTTGGTTGAATGGATTGGCCTAGTGACTCCCTTGGCTTTGAATGGGATGAAATAAACACTATTTTGAAAACCGCCTTTTATGACTAACACTGTGGCATAGAAGGTTAAGTCACCACCTACAATGCCAGCATCCCATATGAGCTCAGGTTTCAAGTCCTGACTGGGTCACTTCTGATCTGCTCCCTGCCAATGCATTTGAGAAAGCAGCAGAAAATGGTCCAATTGTTTGGGTCCCTGTCACCCACATGGGAGACAAAGATGAAGTACCTGGCTTCATTCTGGACCAATCCCAACCAATGCTGCATGAACCAGCAGATAGCTTATGTCTCTCCCTCTCTTTCCCTCTCTGAGACTCTTCCTTTCAAAGGAGAGGAGAGGAGAGGAGAGGAGAGGAGAGGAGAGGAGAGGAGAGGAGAGGAGAGGAGAGGAGAGGAGAGGAGAGGAGAGGAGAGGAGAGGAGAGGAGAGGAGAGGAGAGGAGAGGGGAATCTTTTCTCTATTCTTATTTTCCACAGCTATTCGAAAATGTGCCAAGATTAAGACAAAACTGTGTGTATTGTGGTTGAAGATATTACTCACTCACAGTTGTGAGCTTCATGTTCCCAAAGTCTGCAATACAGAAATTTCAAAAAGTTCATGGAAACATAGTACAAGAAAACCATGTAACCCATGCGTAGTTTGTCATTAATACACATGTTCTATGAACTTGAAGGTTCCCTGGTAGCCGCTATAGCAGTGCTTCTCAAACATGAGAACACACACAAATCACACCCCAAGAGCTGTTCAAATGCTCCAACTCCCAAGCTGCTGATTGGAGAAGGTTGGGGAATTATCAGATTTGCTTCTGGTCTGTACACCTCACCTTGAAGCACCTTTTACTGCTGGAAAATGCAGTATCAAAAACTGTTTCTGATGAGCCTCTTGTAACGAGGGTGCAGAGGCAATCTCAGGGACATGTCCAACAGAGTTAGGAAACCCTAAAAACTGAAAGCTGGATGCCGCCACTTCCCATTGCAACAGCTCAGAAGCAGACCCTCCCAAGCTTACCTCTTCATGGGCTGTTCACACTTCCCAGGCTTTCTGACCTTCTGGTGGGATGTAGTGGACACAGTCTGTAAGTTGTATCTCCTGTATTCTCTTTATGCCTTACACCTTCACTTGGTCCCTCACCTTCACTCTCCAAATTGTCCCACCCTGCTCCGGACCCTATCTGACTGGCCCCAGTGAATATAAGAGTGGGTATCCTTATGTGCTGACTTGTGGTTGGGATGTACCAATAGAGGACACAGGCCAGGGCTTAGGAGGTGAGAGGAGACTGAGGTTGCATACAGTACCCCCAGCCTCATTCCAGCCATACTCTGTGTCCATGGTGATGGCTCATGTACCCACTACGATAGCACCGTAGCGAGCTCTGGGGTGTTGCATTCTTACTTAATCACTACTGTAAACCTTACCCTCACTTTCATAAACCATTGCTTTGTTGCACGCCACTCAAGTTACCAGTTTGAGAGTGCCTGTCCCTCCCTGTCTAGCTAATTACATAGCTGTTTCTCTCTGATTATCCCAATAAGGGAGACTCCGGACTTGAGGGCCACTCCCACTGGTGACCTCTTCTCCCTTTGTGGATCACAATTTAGTGAAACTACTCACTTCTTCTCTGTCTCAGGCAAGGATATAAAAGATTTGGGATTGATTCACATTTTTGAAAATCCACATGATCATAATTCAAGTGAGTTGTGGCATTTTGTGTATGCCATGACTTAAAATCTCAAAATCATGGACAAATCTCATCGGTAGATTTTTAAAGACCTCAATTGCAGTTTATTTACTTGGTTTTAAGTATTTTGCAGACTGGTTCTTTCATTAGTAGGATGCCTGCTCTTCAGTTAATGTTCAGTATTATTTGTCAGTGCACACTGATGTCCTGCCATGCACCAGGCACTGGGTCAGACTCATGAATATCAATGTGAACAGAAGAAACTCTCTGTCCTGATGCAGGCTACAGTGCTGCAAAGGAGAGAAACCATAGAACATGAATTTTAAAATGCTTCTATAGCAAGTGCTGTGCAGGAGAGCCACTGTGGCTGGAAGAGCTTGCAGGCTAAGGAGCAAGGAGGGGAAGGAGGAGGGTGAGGATAAGGACAGTGTTGGGAAGTTGGGGAGAGGGGACTTGACCATGCCTTGGCAGCAGCTGGATGACATGGCCACCCTTCACCTCACGACAGTCTTTCCAAAATCTTTTCCTGATGGAAATCTAAATTTCAAACAAAAACATATGGTAGAAGTAGGTTAACTGAAAACATTGAGAGAAGAAATCAGAAAATGAAAAGAAGAAATAATTATCTGGCCAGCATGAGGCATTACCTGGAAATGGCTACAGTTATCCATGCTTTCCCCTCAAAAGAATGTGTCTCTATTTTATACTTTTGTCCCAAACTATTTCTATATCACATTGCCACTCCACTCAGCTTGGATCTCTCTAACAGGGGTTAAGAGAACTGAGACACTTGCCATCCTGGAGCACATCTTGGTTGGCATTGTTGTTTAGTTTCCCAAAGAGTCACTCTAAGAACTCATGTTGCTCAAAGGTGCTAAGAAGAGCCAACAAAATCTCAAAATGACTGAATGCTCAAGCAGTAGAATTGCTGTTAATAAGGGAACTATGGCTTGACTGGCAGAAGCTTCACTGACTTGTAACTATGACCAGCAGATCTCACCCAAAAGGCAACACACAGGGGAACACTCACAGGCAACTCCACTGTCTTTCTGAGTCTCTCTGGGCTCTGCCAATCTCACAGGGCTCTTTGCCATGTCACCACCAATGCACACAGGCAAGTACTTTCCTACGATGACCACAAACTACTGCTTTATGTCACACAGGCACCGCAGGGTGGGTATCATCTGATTTTCATCTTTGTTACTTCTGCATAGGGCAACCAGGCAGGGTATGCTTTTAAAAAGCATGCTTGTACTTAAGATGGTCTTCAATTATTTAGAGTTAAGGCTAAAGAAGCTGTAAGTAAATCACAGTAAATAGAGCAAGAATTCAAAAGCTGTGCAAGAGGAGCAGAGGCCTCATTTCTCTCCTGCTTTCCTCCTTTCCCTGCGTGCCGTCCCCAGCAAGCCCCTTATTATCTTCTCTC